TGTGGAATATAAGGAATAGCATGGAGGACATTAGGAGAAGGAAGGGAAAAATGAAGGGGGGGGGAAATCAGAGGGAGAGATGAACCATGAGAGACTATGGACTCTGAGAAACAATCTGAGGGTTTTAGAGGGGAGGTGGGGGGGATGGGTTATCCTGGTGATGGGTACTAAGGAGGGCACATGCTGCATGAAACACTGGGTGTTATTAGAAAACAGTGAATCGTGGATCACTACATCAAAAACTAATGATGTATTGTATGGTGACTAACATAACAGAATAAAATAAAATTAAAAAAAAGAAAGCATCAGCTAAGTGAAATAAGTCATGCAGAGAAAATCAATTATCATATGGTTTCCCTTATATGTGGAACATAAGGAATAGCATGGAGGACATTAGGAGAAGGAAGGGAAAAATGAAGGGGGGTGGAATCAGAGGGGGAGACAAACCATGAGAGACTATGGACTATGGAAACAAACTAAGGGTTTCAAAGGGGGGAGGGGGATGGGTTAGCCTGGTGATGGGTATTAAGGAGGGCACATATTGCATGGAGCACTGGGTGTTATACACAAACAATGAAACATGGAACACTACATCAAACACTAATGATGTACTGTATGGTAACTAACATAACAATAAAAAAAAGAAAGCATTAAGGGGTAAATGTGATATTACTAATCTGATCAAAATTCCCAATAAAAGTGCCTGTCAACAACTCATACTTCACGAAAATGCCTGCAAGGATTCTGAGCATCACGCCTCATAATGCATATCATACTTGAGTTCTCCATAGTGTTTATAGGTCTGGATTACAATACTCCACATCTATATAGGTTACTGGAGAGTTTACAAAATGTCCTTATCCTCATCCTATTAATAGTCAACAGAGATCTTACATCAACAGTTAATGAGTGACCTCCACATTCAGAAATCTAATGACACGTTATTAGATTAGACACAAATAGACACAAATATATTTGACACATTATTTCACTTATTTATTTTTAACATCTCCCCTACCAGAATGTAAACAGTATGAGGGCAGGGATTTTTATCTGTTTGGTTTACTGTTTTATTCTGGGCACTCAGAAGTGCCTTTTTTTGACATATAGTATGTGCTTCCTAGATGTTTGCTTAATATATTTAACTCTTTTTAAACAGCTTAAAGTCAGAGTTACTAGGGTTTTTTGTGTAGGTTAGTCTGATCGTAAAGGCTGGATATTTAGCCACTCTGCTAAGCTGAAAACCAAAACAAAACAAAACAACTATCCTTAATATCCATAGAATAAATGTATCTGGACCCTAAAATTTTCTTACCCTGCTCTGACTGAAACTTGCAGATTAGGTTGGGAGCAATATGATTGATAGCAAATTATTCAACCGGGCCCACAAACATCCTGCAACAAATGGCCATTTTTACTTTCCTTTAATTTGTCTTAATTTAGTATGACTTTGCCCCATCCTTTGGTTTTAATTTTCTAGTGATATAGAAATAGCTTGACCCAAGATATTTTTTCCTCTTTTATGAGGAGAACAAAGCACCACTTGAAAAAACCTAGTGTTTTTGTCTTCTGGCTTGTTTTATAGTTGCTGATTTTCATGTTTACTTATAGTTTCCTTTGCTTTTCCACCTTTTCTTTGTATACTGTTGTTTTCTGGCTTTTTAAGGATAGATTGGAAAGCTGCCTTTACGTTTAAAAAACTATACTTTTCAAAAATTTTCAGTATCAAAAATAAAGTAGAAGTTATTTATTCCATCCTGTCTAAAGTGAGGAAATCAGATTTTTATTTACACTCATCAATTCTCCAACTCCTTCTCAGTTTTTGTTGACATAATAGCAAATTATAGACCCAGATTACAATGGTTAATTTTTTACATTATACATTTTCTCCTTAGGTAATTATTTTTATGTTAACATTCTCTTTTATAACATATTTATAGCAATTATTTAGCATTAACTCTGTGTTTAATTAGCTACCATGCTCACTGTAGGTCTTTTCATTCCATATATCTTTGTTCTTGATTTCTTTATTTTGACTCATTGCTTGTTCAATTACTCTTTGAATGATTTATTAGAAGCAGGGCATGTGGGAGCCCCTGGATACTGAGAATGTCTTTCTGATGTATTTGCACAAGAACAACAACTTGGCTGATAAAGAATTTGTGGGTTATAACATTTTCTCCTCAAAAATCCTCCAGGCTTAACTGCATTGTCTGCTGCCCTTTACGTGATGGAGAAATCTGAGAGGGGCCAGGCAGAGATTTGTTAGAATGGCTTTTCTGCTCTTATGACCCTTTAGCTTAACTCTTTTTAGTAAAACTTAATACTAAATACAGTAATTTGAAATAGTGTGTAGTTTTTCCCTTGCCAGAAGAAAAACAACACGCTGAGTGCCCAGCTCTCACGGCTTTTCCTCTCTGTTCCTGTGAAGCCAATGACACACTCAAGACCCCTGGCATAAGCATGAACCCAATTCTCTTAATTCCCTTCCTGCAAATCTTAGTTCCAAAACAGGAGCACACATGGCATGGGCTCGAAGGCATAAGTAATTAAATGATCCTTGTTCATCTCTAAGCAATAGTAGAAACTGCTTCTTAGATGAGGTAGCTTCAGGTTAGGGTGACTTTTTTCCCCAAAGGCAAAACCCCATGTCTTGAGGAGACAGTCCACTGTGTGAAGTTTGGGAAGCAAAACTTCCCACAATCCTCCTGTGTCACCTGCTGTTCTCCTCAAGGGTCAACCATGCTTGGGTTGGGCAAATTCCACTTGGGGTCCATCTGTCAATTTCTTGGGTTCTACAGACTTGGTCTCTTGCTGGGATTTTATTAGAGTCTTGGTAAGAATGTGACAGTGAGCGAATTGAGTGTAGCTGCTACTCTTCTTCACAGCATGGAAACCCAAAAGCACCTCTTGACATGTTGCCAAGAACAGGGAAAGTCACACCTTCTCAGAGTTGTGCTCCGCCAATAAACTGGCCAGTCTGGAATGCAGAGAACCAGGAACAAGATGGGTCCCCAGATGCTTTCTGCTCATCTTTATGTCTTCCTCTTCAATACATCAGAGTGCTTCATGCAGAGGGAAGACCAGATGGACAGATGGAAGGCAGTCTGGCAGCTTCTCTTTGTAGTTTTAAACTCTCTGTGAGGAATGTTCCTTGAGTAAGTAATAAATGCAGAACTGAAATACCAATGTGGAATTTAAATGGCTATGTGGACATTTAAAATGTTAATTAGTTCCTCAATCCAGGTTTCTCATAAGGTAATGACTGCCACTGACAGACTAAACTCTCTATCTTGGCCACCAGAGCCTATAGAGGCTATTCTCCACACACTCCACCAGATCTTGCTTTTGTCTCAGTGTCCCCTTCTCCAGTGAGCTTCTCACTTCTCCAGAAATACTGTGAAATATGGCACACACCAGATTCCCTTATGTTACAAAAGCTCTTGGAGGGCACCTACTTTATAACCTTAATATGAACTATAGGGCCTAGCATATGTCAGTGTTCGTTATATATTTGTTGAATGAAATACAGCAACCTGAGATATGTCCACAAAAGCATCCTAGATTGAAAATACTTGTGTCATAGGAGGAACTAAAGATAGTGAACTTTCAGAAAATAAGACTAGATGGGTGTGTTTGAACAGAGGGGAGGTGGATGGTAGGAAAGATCTTATGGAACCGAAAGAATGCTGCCTGAAAAGGTGATTGCATTAGCTATCTTGGGACCTAAGAGTCTGGACCAAGGGCAACAGGTAGAAGCTATAATAAGAGACATATTTCAAGCAGTACAATAAACGGACTTCTTAGAGTCATAGCCACCCGAAAGATCAGTAAAGTTACCAGGTAAAGAAGTGAGTTCTCTGTCATTGGAGATAGTCAAGAATATGCACTATTACCAGTTAAGTGTGATGTTGTAAGGTTGATTGTTTTACATGTAGGGGGAGGAAGTAGGTATTCAGTGACCTTTTAGATCTTTTCTAGGCCTGTGCTTTTGTGTTGTTATGACTGGCATCCCATCTTGACCAAAGAAATATTTGACATTAAAAAAGGTTACCTTGTCTTTGGGAGAAGAAACCATTTTCTAATGTGACTATTGGTAATAATAAAAGAGTTAGCATTCACTGATTAACTACAACATGCTTAGTACATTCATATCTATGATATGATAATAAATCGATAGGTATTATTTTGTAGGTGAGGAAATAAATCTTCAGATAGGCATGTGATTTGCCCAAAGGTATTTGAAAGACCTTTTTATCTTTTATTATTTTTATTTATTTATTTTTAGAGAGAGAGTATGCATGCATGTGTGGGCATGCAGGGGTGGGTAGGTAGGAGCGGCAGAGGGAGACGCAGGGAGAGAATCCCATGAAGGATCCACGCCCAGTACGGGGCTTGATCCTACAACCCTGCGATCGGGACCTGAGCTGAAATCAAGAGTTGGTGGCTCAACTGAGCCACCCAGGCACCACAGACCTTTTATCTTTGAATACTGAGGTCTGCAAATTTTTTCTGTAAAGGGCCATATAGTAAATATTTTAGGCTTTATGTGGCATAAAGTCTTTGTCTAATCTACTCAACTTGGGACACCTGGGTGGCACAGTCTGTTAACCATCTGCCTTTGGCTTGGTCATGATCCCAGGGTCCTGGACCGAGTCTCGCATCAGGCTCCTTGTCCAGCAGGGAGCCTGCTTCTCCCTCTGCCTGCCACTCCCCTGCCTGTGCTCTCTCTCTCTCTCTCTCTGTCTCTGACAAATAAATAAAATCTTAAAAAAAAAAAAACTATTCAACTATACTGTTGTAGCATCAAAGCAGCCTTAGACTATATAAAAGAATAGGCATTGCTATATTAAAAAAAAAGTTTACATAAAAGGCATGGGGCTGGATTTTGTCCCCAGGCCTTAGTTTGTCAAGCTCTGCTCTAAAGCCATGCTACTTCTCATTTGAGAATGGGAAAATACAAACAAGGCAAGAAATGGCCTCCATGTGGCCGTACTTACTCCATTTGCTTTGCTGAGTGCCTGGAAGTAGATGCTGTAGCTTTTCAGAGGGGAAAGAGGAGGGTTCCAGTATCCATTGTATGTCTTATTGTCACCCACTGTAAATGGCTGGGTGACAGGCAGGTTGGCGGGCTTCAATTCAGCAGCAAAGTAGTGTAGAGAATCAAGGCTGGAGGCATTCCTATAGCTCACAGGCACTGAAAAGCACTCAATGAGGTCAGCTGCCCTTCGTGACTTCTGAAGTCGCTCCTCCTTGACAACCAGCTGATAAACACTGCACAAGAAAGAGAGGCAGATGAGCAACTATCTAGAAGGATGAACTTGTTATTTATCACCATTTCTGTCTACAACTAAACCTCCCTCCTGAGCTTTAGAATTAATAAACCCACTGCTTTGTAGAAATCTATCTCCATTTAGATGTCCCAAGGCCAGCTCACATTGAGATAGATCCAAAATGCAACACGGTCCCAAATCCTATTTATATGTTTCTGAATTTGTTTTGATTTTTTTTTTTTTTTTTTTTTTTTTTTCTTAAAGGGTAGCGTTGCCCATCAAGTGATGAGATCTCGAGTCTGGGGCTCATCCTCAATTCCTACCTCCTTAGATCTCATTCTGCACTTATAATCAAAAAGCCCTGTTGACATCAGCAATCTGTACCTGCCCTTCTCCTTTCTTTCCCTTCACTGATAATGCTGAGGTTGGGCACTTCCCTACCTCTTACCTGGATTCAACTGGTCTCTTTGCCTCTAACTTATTTATCAACTAGTCAACATTGATCTTCCTGAACATATAACACTGTCCCTCTTCAAGCACTCTCATAAGGTCTCCATTATCTGAATGATATAATTTAAACTCCTCATCCTGGCATTGGGGACACTTGTGGCTGGCTTCCAGCCTGTCTTTTGGAAACTCTTGGGATGAACCCCTCATTCCAGCTGCTCCAGACCCTGTGCAATGGCACAAACATCCTGTGGATCCCACTCCATGCCATCATCAGTTCATGCTTCCTCCACCTGCAATGCATTCCACTTCTGCCAGTGGAAGCCTTTCCCTAAAGGCTGAGTCTATCTTTCATCTCTTCAATGAAGCCCATCTAGACCTTTCCAATCTGAATGAGTCTTCCTCCTTAGTTTCCCTACAATTCATTAATGGATATCTCCTTGGGATTGCAATAATATGTACACAGAACTACTGTTTCTCTGGCTAGACTGTGACATTTTGGACAGTGGGAGTTGTGGCTTAGTTATCTCTGCATCACTCCCTCCACTATATACTGCTGAGTAGGCTGCCTGATAACCATACAGTGATCAGTGAATGCTTGTTCAAGTGAACCAAATTAAACTGAGCTAAAACTGAAAGTAGGCATGAAACCAAATATGACTGGATGCAGAATCCCTAATCACAATAAACAGTAAATACTCCAAACTCTTGTACAAGATCACTTGTACCATTCCTTTCAACTTAGAAGGAAGTAAGAAGGTGCTAGTGTGTGAAGAGAGATGACCAAGCCTTTAATGAACACCAGCTATATGCCAAATGTGTAGGCTCTTTTTATAAAAGTTATCCTAAAGTTTGTGCATTTGGATAGCATTTTACTATCTCTTTGAACGTCCATAATTTGTACTTCTCTTGAAAAGTGCTGTTCTTTTTTTTTTTTAAAAAGATTATATATATATATGAGAGAGAGAGAGAGAGAGAGAGGAGCAGACTCTCTGCTGGGCAGAGAACCTGATACAGGGCTCGATCCCAGGACCCTGAGATCATGACCGGAGCTGAAGGCAGATGCTTAACCGACTGAGCCACCCAGGTGCCATGAATGAATGCTCTTCTTTTAGAAGGTCCTTACTACATAGATCTCTGGGACTCAATTGCCCAAAGAGTACCCCCAGGAAACTTTTGTGAATTAATGAGGTGATTGCAGCAGTGGCCCCAAACCAATCATTTAAAGATGGCATAGTGAGCTAGCACATGGTTTATGAAAATGGAATGTGGTGCAGGCTACCATCTTTTGATCAGGCTGTCCATCTAAAGACATTTGGTTAAGAAGCACAACTTAGGCAAAGACAGAGGCACAGGACTATTTCAATTAAAAAAAAAAAAGGTGCAGAGGGACTGACCCAAGGAAACATGCCACACTCAACATGGCAAATCTTCCCCCTGAATCTCCTTGAGCATGGGGATCATCAGCAATGCAAATGGGAAAGAAATAGGCATATGAATGTCTGCCACACTTAGAATGTGGTATCTGAGTTGAGATGAGCAATGGCTCAGGAAGCATGTGTACTGTTAGGCACATCTGAACGAGAACTCAGTGGCCCAGACGACATGTGAGTGGCATGTGAGTGAAAGTGGCCCACCTTTCTGGGAACGCAGACTACATGTGAGTGTGAGCAATGTCCAAATGAGCATCCTTAGGACTTGGGTGTCTAAAAACTGAGCAAACATATATACTCTTGGAATGAATGGGTGTGACATCCAGATGAATGTCACTTAAGTGTGTATACACCTAAATGTGTATGACATCCGAGTGTGCATATGTGTGTGCGACATCATCTATATATCATCTATATATGTTCATAAAACTGAAGTCAATAAACACCTAAATTAAATGAGGACTTCAGTGTTCATCAACCCTGGGGTCCTTCTGAATGGTATAATCACTTTGTTTATCAGGACAGCTAAGCTCAAAACAGTCTCTGAAAGACATCATAAAAGACCCAAGATCCAAACCTAGAGGTCATGAGGTGAGAGTGGAGGGGTGTCTATAACAGTTTTCAGGACCCCCACTGCTTTACATGTAACAGCAGTCTCAAATAAAACTTTGAATCTGGCTAGAGTGTTAAGGACTGCTTATTAGGGGTTTATGATTCATGCAACTCTAATCTATGAGGGAAAGAGCAAAAGGCAATGAACAGTGAAGGAGCAACAGTCTTGGGTCCACCTGTGGAGGCTTATAGTAGCACCTACAAGATGGAACTGGGCTTGGAAGCACTCAGCCTATCCAGCCCTCATGCCCTCCTGACCAGGTTGGGAAGCATGTACAGCCTCATCCCTAGGAACAGGGGTTGCAAAGAGCTGAGTCCCTGCTTTCCCCTGAGGCCCAGGGGAACTACTACTCTTGGGTTAACCCTGTCCACATGAGAAGACCTCTGTTTTCATTTCTAAGCCCAAAACTCTCATGCCACTCCCGACTCCTGTCACCCCTCCCCTCTAAATTGAGAACCCAAAGCCTTGGGAGCTTCACTGTGGCTGGATCTCATTCCTGGAATCACTTTCTGTTGTCCTTGGCCCTAGTATGATGGGATGGATCAAGAAGAGGCACAAGGCTGGCCTGAGCACTGCCCATGACTGGCATGAGATTCCACAGTTGTGGACAGCTAAACAGTCGGTCTTTGCTGGGCTCTGACACGTGAATGTTGCCAAAGGCTACAGAGGGAGGCAAAACACGTCCCCAGGCATTGGCCTGTGATCCTGACACCAATTGGACTATTGACTCAATTGTCAATTCAACCACACTCAGTAGCCAGATTACAGAAGATGCTGAGGCTGACACAAATGCCTCATGATTGTCAAATTGCAGCAAAAGTAGAAAGCCAGGCTTCTCATTCACAGTGGTGTATCCTTTCCTTCTTTTTATATAAGCCAACAAAATGTACAAAGGGCCTTCTGAGTATTTTTTACTTGGCAGCCTGAACTACTTAGCTCTATCCTACCCAGCTTCTTCCGAAATCACAAAGCCTCGCAAAGGATATATTTGAGGAGAGGGGTGTTAAACTGTGCTGTCAACATACAGTTCACATACAACTGGGATGAATGTGCCAAAGTAATAGCCAGCAACACCCTCAGGCCCATTGTGCCTGCAGCTTGTCTATTCAGAGGCAAATCTGCAATTGCAGTCAGAAAACTATAAACCATTTGGTCGTATCAATCTTTTTGCCAGTGGATCCAGCCTCTCTCCAAGATCAGGAAACTCTGATGAAGGAGGAGGAAGGAAGAGATGGCACGTGCAAGTGTGCCCTGATACATACACTGGAGGAAGTGGGGGCAGGGTTGGGTGGGTAGGGGGACAAGACAGTTTCTTTTTGTTTCTTGTGGTAACTTCATTCTCATCATCATTCTCTTGGAAATATATTTATCTAAGCTCTTTTCAGTCTGCTGATATTGATGAAAGCATACCTAAATGAGAAGAACTCCCCAAAAGTCATATCTCAAGTGCAAAAGAAGTCATTGCAATACACTATTCAGGAGCATTTGTGAAGAGATTTTTTTTTTTTTTTTAGTAGAAAAACCCTGATAGTATAAGAAGAACTTAAGATGCTCACCTCACAACATGTAGCATTTATTCACATATTTTCCCCTCCTGTGGCACCCCCTTTATTTCTCCCAGCAAGAAGATGGATATTTGTGACCATATTTTCCGCCTAAGTTCTCCTGAGAGTCTCTTCTTGCAGGACCCTGAAAGCAGCTACACGTCAACAGGAAAGGTGAAGCGGAATGTGCACGTTCTTTCACCTCCCTGGCTTTGGCTTCCTCACTGCAGCTCACCTTCAAGGTCCACTGGTGATCCTCTTTGCTGCAGTGACTACCCCCAGCCCTCTCTCCCCAACTGTTCAGACTCAGGCTTGCCTGCAAGTTCAATCCTCTAGTTTGTATCTCTTGAGACTAGAACACTCTACTCCAGTCTCATGTCCCAAGACTCCAGCCCATACAGAACAGTTGCTTCAGACACCTTGAAGAGCAAGACACGTAGGAATTCCTCTGCAGGTGTTAGAGGACCCTGCCACTGTAGACTCATGCCCCCTCTGATTCCTGAGCCAACAGTCTGGATGGGAACTCATGCTCCTCTGTGAGGGACCAGGGGCCTATCAGAGCCATCCATCAATCACTAACACATCCCATGGCCCCCTTTGTGTATCCGGGAAGAGATCTCCAGTTAGGGCCTGTTATCCATTCAGAATGCTGAAGTCAGGTGGCAGAGAAGATGCTGTAGCTCACAGGTGAAGACTGCCCAGGTTCATAAAGGGATACATTTGGGCCCATGTTCTCCCAGAAATAGGCTTCATAAATTCATACCCATTAGTTCATACTGATATCCTCAATTCAAATCCACTAACACAAGATTCTTCCTCACCTTCCCTACTGCCTATTTTTCCTTTTTCCTGCAGTAAAAACCCTCATTTCCAAGATCAGTATTGTTTAGTCATTTACTCTCTCACACAACACACACAAAATCATTTCAGAATTAACTCATCAATACCACAACCAACCTCAATA